CTTCTCTGTCCTTTCCCGGTCATTCTGTTTTTACTTCCTCCTGCCATGAAGTGTACACCTCTGTTTAAGGACTCCCCCTGTGGGTTCACTCTCTGAGGCTCCTAGCATAGGGCTTGATACACCGTAGGTGCTTAGTTAATGCCTGTTGTGTGGATATGAGTTTGAGCAAACTTTAGGAGATGGTGAAGGACAGGGAAGCCTGGTGTGCTGCGGTCCATGGGGTTGCAGAGTCAGACATGACTTAGCGACCAAACAACAACAACATCAATGAAGAAATGAATTTTTTCAAATAGTCTCCAAATTTCCGGCCATTCTGAAGTCTCCTTTATAAGTTATCCTTTTATAGTTCTTCTTTCACTGACTTTCCCCTCAGTCTTGTCTTTCTTTTGTTTCTCACGGAATCTTTACTTGGATTTGCTTCATATTTTCTACTTTAAGAGTTTCCCCTGGGCCTGTCATATTGAAAGGATAAGTCCTTTGATTTTCATTTTAAATTACATCCGTTAAACAGTAACACATCAGGCAGTAAGGCATTTGATATTTTAAATCTCTCTTTTTACTTTCTTTTGGTTCCTCAACAGGTCTCTCGGGGGGCATTCAAGCTCAGAGCGTCTTGAAATTCTGCCAGGACTGGGGCATGGTTACTGCGGTGTGTATAATCCTCGCATGTGTGAAGTGCAGCTGGATAACGCAGCATTAACTCACGCCCAGAGTGTAATACATCTGTCTAGGCCTGGTCCTCTCCTTCGCCATTACTCTTAGTTGAGCATGTGCTATAAAAACCACCAGGTGTTAACCGTCTAGGCAACCGAGCCCTGACTAAATCTTCTTAGGATGAAGATGCACCTGCTGGAAGCATCTTCCAGAACTGCAAATTCATACAACCCTTTGCCTTTAGCTGGATTATTGCTCCAAATCCTACAAGCTACAACAAGACAGCATCAGGGTAGAGCACACAATGGGTAAAACACCCATTATCTACAGTGACTTGAGAGGTTTTTATTCTTATCGCATATTGTTTTTTGAAGGATACGTGAGTCTTTTTATTGCCGTAAAAGGGCTGTGAGCTAGCAATAGATTATTGGTTGCCCTACTTTGGGCTTTATGACTCACTGATCATAGTCTCATTTTTTTTTAGTCCAATGATAAAGTAATAGATAATATTTATAGACTGGTACCATTCTGAGTGTCCTACATGTGTGTTTAATTCTCACAACACTAAGATAGGTGCTATTGTTATTATTCTTCCTATTTTACATTTGAAACATGAAGTTAAGTAATTGACCCCAAGACACAGTTGTTCTCACCAATGGTATTTGCATATCTACAGGCTCTCTGGTCTTGTGCAGGCTCATATTCAGTTTTTATTCATTTATATTTTAAATTCTGATTCTTTTGGGGATACAGGGTAAATCTTGATAAACCCTAAAGTTAATTTGTGTTTCATGTGGTATATGATGTTTTATAAAAATTTCCAACTTTTATGTATCACTATAGCACTAACAAATTATTTTAAACATAATATCTCCCTTACTTTTAATGTTCTGTGGACACTTACTCTTCTATCATCAGAGTCATACTAATCATCTTAAATGTGGAGAAAGCTTCCTTGTCCTTCTTTTTCCTTTTAATTCTCCCCAAGTCCCACCTCTCCTCACATCTATTGCTTCACAGTATTCAAAATAATTTCATATCTATTATTGAATTTAATCCTCAAATCAGTTATCTGATGTAGATGCTATTTTCCTTATTTTTCTGTTGAAGAAATTGAGTCTCAGTGACTGATTTGACTGTCAGAGAGATGAGGCAGAAGGGAAATCAGAGAGATTTGAAGTCTGGGAAAGATTCAGCCTACCATCTCTGGCTTCAAAGATGATCGGCTCCAAGCCTGGGAAGATGAGCAGCCTCTAGAAGCTGAGACCAACCCCTGGTCAAAGGCTGGCAAGGAAATGGGGATCTTAGTCCTACAACCTCAGGGACCTGACTTCTCCCCTAGCACCTCCAGAGAGGAAAGCAGTACCTTGATCTCAGCCTTGTGAGACACTTAGAGAGAACCAACTGAGCTTTGCTATGTCTGGACTCCTGACTCATGGAGCTCGGAAAATAAATATGCAGTTTTAAGCTGCTAAATTTGTGATGATCAGTTATAATGACAATAGAATACAAATACAGCCCAATATTGTTTTCAGGGGCTTCCTGGACAGCACACAGCTCTGTGGTCTCTGATAGTGAGAGAATCATGTCCTGGGTGTGCCCAAGATAATCCACTTAGGTCACGAGAAAAAGCTCAACTCTTAAACTGATAGTTTTGTGTCATTTTTATAGTGTAATTAATGTATTGGTATAGTAGAATATTTATAATGCCTATATGTGTTGTCTGCTCAATTGTTTTTTACTAAAAGGGTTATATGATCAAAAAAGGATATTGAACGGTGATCTGGCAAAGAGGGGAGTGGAAAGTCAAGTCAGCATGTTTTAGTGGAAAGCTCCCAGTGTTTGGAGTTAGAGAGATGGATTTCATTTCCACCTGTGATGGGATCAGCCTGGTGGCTTTGGCTAAACTATTTCTCATCTGTGGCTCACACTTCCCCATGGAACCTGCGGGAGATTTCTTGAACTTCCCTGAGAGTATAGTGATGCCATGTTGATGTCCAAATCAGTAAGTACCATCTTCAAACCCTGTCTTTGTTCTGATTAAGGAAAAAGGAAACACAGACCAAAAAACAGGTTTTACTGAATTGGCTGATTGTTCAAACAGGTTGATCACTGTGTTTGACTGAGTTTACTTAATACAGTAAGTTACTTCTGGACAGGTATTTTTATGATTCACTTCTTAAGCTTGCCAACCTCTAATCTGGTACTTTGCACTGGATTAATAAGATTTTGCAGAATCAATAGGTAGACTTAAATAGGTAGAATAAAAAATTTAACAAGAAGCATTAATAATGAAGTTTAGTGATGTATCTTTAGTTATTACCAGGGCACAGGTTGCCTGCCAGCTTCTGTTAGACCACAGAATCTCAAGGAGACTGGCAGTAAAACTATCTCTAGGAATATTCTAACAGGACTGTCAGTTTCATAATATGGCTCCATATTGTACTGTATACAGTACATATCATGTGCCAGATGTTATTCTAAGTACTTTCTTTTTCTATGTTAACTCAACATTCACAATAACAATATTGGTTTTGTACTAATACTACTTTATTACAGGTGGGTAAAGCAAGGGACAGAGAGGTTAAAGAACCTACCACAGGTTACACAATTAGTAATTGGGAGGGCAGGGGTGGAAAGGCAGGAGGCTGACTTCAGAGTCTGTGCCCATCACCTCTGAGCTCTGCTGCTTCTCCATGGCCGGAGGTTGTGAGGTAGGCTTAGGAGGACTCTTCTCCTGAGTTCTTCGAGCACAAGTATTTCTTAAACTTCTAATCGGGAAAAATTGAGGACCACCTTTCTTCCCCAAGGACTCAGAGCATGAGACTAGATGGGGAGAACCCAGAGTGGGGAGTCCAGGGTTGTTATAGAGACGAGTAGTGAGGAGAGAATGGCACAAAGAACTCTCTGGCCTTGGGAAAATTAATTAAGCTTTCTGAGCTACAGCTTCCTCATATGTCAATGTGGAGCTGACAAACCTATGGGATGAGGCTGTAGACGAAGTGAAATAATGAATACCTAGCATTGTTTCAGGCATGGAACACAGCAGGTGTTTAATGAAACTGTTGAACCACTCTGCACCCCTGTCTGAATGACTCTTGAGACTGAAAGGTGTTAATACACGGGAAAGAGGATATGACATACTGACTGCGGTACAACTTTGGCTACACGGAGCTTGAGTGTACCATGGCCGAAGCCACTTCCATGAGCTTCCTCCCTCCTGACCTTCTGTCTTCCTGTGTTCTGACCTCTCTCCAGGACTTCACAATCCCCCAGTGTCCTAAGCTGGAAACCTCACCTGCATCCAAACAACTGCCGAGATGTGTCCAGTCAGCAAGACTCAGCTTCCTCTTTGCTTCTTTATGGCTAAGGATTTAGCTCAGGTTCTCATCACTAGGCTTAGATTATACGCACAGCCTCTTAATCCATCTCCCCAACTCCATGTCCTCCATATTCCTGCTGGTTATTGGTCCACAACACAAGCAACATATTGCTTCCCCATGAGAACCTCTTTTGATCTTTGTACTGTTCTCAGTGAGGCTGTGTGTAAACCGGAGCCTTTCATGGTCACATCCTGTCCAGGAACAAGATGTGCGCTTGGCAAAAGTGTCTTATTATCCCTGGATAAATGAGTGTGACGTGGCCACTGGATAAGGTGCTTCAGCAACTGGGTAAGGGGGCCACCCACATGGGTTGCTTAGAATAACTGGTCAGAGATAGAAGGTGACTAGTGGCAATCTTCACCAGGGCCATAGATTTCTCCTTCCTTTTGACTTTCCACCTTTTAAATGCTTCATTGTTATCAACTCTCCCACCAAAGTGTATATAAGAAGAACAAAAACAAGCCTTTGAGAATTTGCTGAACCCTGGGAAGGGCTCTGGAGACAATTTCTATGTCCAGAATCTGGGAAATACTCTTTATATAAGCTTTGGTTTCAACATACACAGTTTGTAGGCCTGAGATCATTTTGGTCACTAGGCTATAATTTAATGTATTTAAAAGGAATGTATTAATAATTATTTTAGTGACTTCTCAAATATAGATATGATAATCTTCATCACTACTTTATTTACTAAACTAAAAAATACATTTAAATATTAATTTGCTTTCTTTTTATTAGTAGAATCTAATCATGTCATTCCCTGCTAATTTCTTCCCATTGCTTAGCAAGATATCAAAACTTTACTTATGGTTTCCGGCCTGCGCGGGTGGGCGCCGACTCTGCTACCCGCGCGCCCCCGAGCGCTGTCCCGGGAGCGCGGCTCCCCCGGACGCCGGCGCCGGCGGCTCGGGCCGGGGCCGCGCCAGGAGGGCGCCCGGGCGGGCGCGAGGCACGTGCGGGGCCATGAACGGGACGGCCAACCCGCTGCTGGACCGCGAGGAGCACTGCCTGCGACTCGGGGAGAGCTTCGAGAAGCGGCCGCGGGCCTCCTTCCACACCATCCGTTATGACTTTAAGCCGGCGTCTATAGACACTTCCTGTGAAGGAGAGCTTCAGGTTGGCAAAGGCGATGAAGTCACAATTACACTGCCACACATCCCTGGATCCACACCACCGATGACTGTGTTCAAGGGGAACAAGCGGCCTTACCAGAAGGACTGTGTGCTGATCATCAATCACGACACTGGAGAATATGTGCTGGAGAAGCTCAGCAGCAGCATCCAGGTCAAGAAGACACGAGCTGAGGGGAGTAGTAAAATCCAAGCCCGGATGGAGCAGCAGCCCCCGCGACCCCCACAGCAATCCCAGCCGCCGCCGCCGCCACCACCGATACCGTTCAGAGCACCAACGAAGCCTCCGGCTGGACCCAAAACCTCTCCCTTGAAGGATAACCCCTCACCTGAACCTCAGCTGGATGACATCAAAAGAGGGCTGAGGGCCGAGGTGGACATCATCGAGCAGATGAGCAGCAGCAGCGGGAGTAGCTCCTCGGACTCTGAGAGCTCCTCGGGGAGCGACGACGACAGCTCCAGCAGCGGCGGCGAGGACAGCGGCCCCGCGTCGCCCCCGCAGCCCTACGGCGGCCGGCCAGCCGTGGCCAACGGGACCGGAGCCCCGCGGCCGCCAGGGAACACGCAGCTCATGAGCACCCTCAGAAATGACTTGCAGTTGAGCGAGTCTGGCAGTGACAGTGATGACTAGAGCCGGACCTTTTGAAATCAACGTTTTGGTGCACCGATCTGCCGCGAGACCAGGCTGCTTTAGCGTGGCGTCCACACGGAGAGGAAAACGTGGGGACCGTGGCTCTAGGAGGGATTGGGGGCTCAGAAGTGCTCAGATGTGCATGCCTTTAACTTAGCGGTGATGGGTGATATTCTCATGTGACTTTTGAACAATCTCAACCTTTCAAAGTTTTAAGTAGATCTATAGCAGAACTAACGGAATTGTATCTCTGTTTGGTTAACGCTGTTAATGGAAACCAGACAAGCCTGCCCTGGTCTAGGTTCCTCCGAGGTCACTTCTCCTGGCCAGTGTTTCACTTTCTAACCTCAGCAGCCACCAGCGTGGCCAAGTGGCTTGCCCCAGTGAAAGGAAGCTCAGTCTCTGACGGATAGGGGGAGAGGGCAGCCTGCAACCCCGGCACGGAAGCATGTTCCAACCACTTCCAGTTACAGACCCGCGGCGGTGAGGAAGTTCTGTCTGACCCAGCCTGGCTGGCCTGTGTGGAAATGGACTTCAGGATGGGGTAGTAGAGCGTCAGCGGGGGGACCTGGATCATGGCTCAGCCCCACGTCTGCAGATGAGGAAGGGACAGGCCTGGCTGGTGTGGGGCCAGTGTCTTGCCCCAGGCCAGGCCTTCCTACTGCTCCCACCCCTGAATCTCTTATTGGAACCAGAGTCTTGTCCATGGGCCTGTGTAAGAGCTGTGTTGTGCATTAGAGCTTTTCCTGGATTCCAAAAGATAGGAGTGTGGGCTCCTTCTAGCTCCAGTTTAGATCCATACAGTCCCTGAATACATCAGTCCCTCATGAGGTGAGTGGGGGAGCAAATGAAGCCAGCAGCCATGGTGCTGATGCACGTGACTCGCTTAATTAAACTGGGGCTTTCAGCTCCGTGTGGATCCATAACAAGAGGGCTTCTCTCGGAGGCTGCCAGTGGGGGAGTGGGACGGCTGAGGTGAGGAGGCCTCTGGGCACACGCTATCCAGACCGGGGTCCGGGTAGGAGGCGTGCAGTGTGCAATGAGCAGGCGTTGGCAGGGCTCCCCAGTTGCTTTTGCACCGCTGCTCCCAAGCAGACTCGTTTTTTACATGCAACCAGAAGAAAGTCACGGGATTGCCTTCTGCGGTGTGCCCTCTCCAGATGAATCTGTCGTTGCGGGAAACCGGTCACTAGGAAGCGTTCCGTACACAGCAGACGTAATAAGGTGTCCCACAATTAGTGCATTAGCTTGGAGTCGCCCATTCTGGCGTTTGAATGACTACGCCCTGAGAAATTGTGTCTGCTTCGATTCAGCGTTGTTGAGAACTGAAGACTGATCTTCCCCCCTCTGGGTGGCCTCTCCTTGGCTAGTGGAGGGAAGCAGCCTGGACCCAGGAGGAAGCTCGGTGACCGGTGGCAGGGGCTTTGAGTTGAGCCTCACAAAGTCACCTGTGTCCCCCGCGCGGTGGCCCCAGTTAGCTGGAGCAGGGCCGGGCAGCCTGCTCATGCCGCTCCTCCAGCTGTGCTTGGGGTCAGGCTGGTGCCTGCGCCGGGTCCTCCACCCGTCATGGGGCTTCGTGGAGTTCATGGCAGGTAGGAACTTCCTTATAATGAATTGATTGCTTTTAATTTATTGGTAATGACAGCTCAGGAAAGCTGAAGGTCATGGTTGCGTGTGTGAGTCGCTCACTCATGTCTGACTCTTTGCGACTGCATGGACTGTAACTCGCCAGGCTTCTCTGTCCATAGGATTCTCCAGCAAGAATACCGGAGTGGGTTGCCATTTCCTTCTCCAGGGGATCTTCCCGAGTGAGGGATCAAAGCCAGGTCTCCTGCACTGCAGGTGGATGTCTTCCCGTCCGAGCTACTAGGGAAGCCCGGAGGTGATGGTTGGGAGACTTGGATTGTTTCTAGACGTGGGAATTGTTTCACCGCTCTTCGCTTGCTCAAGCTGGGGCAGGTACCAGGAACTTGGACTAAAGATGGATCTATTTAAGCCTCTCTCCCTCGTTTCCTCCCGTCAGGCTTGACGTGTGTGGCCAGCCCGGGGTCTGGGCCCGTCCAGTGCCTGCTGGTGTCTGGGCAGCGCTTGCCTGTGGCCTGGGCCTGGGGGGTGGGCTCTGCAGGCCTGTCACAGCTGCAGGCCCAGCCCTGGTTCTGTTCTCCGCACAGCCTGTGCCTGTTGCTTCTGCAAGCCCTCCAGCTTTGCCCGGCAGAGTAAGGAATCCTTGCTTGTTGGAAATGAAGCCTCCAGCCTCACAGACTCCCCCTCACGAGTGCCCTCCTGCCAGCCAAGCTGGACCTGTTCTTCCTGCCTCTGTGCCTTGTCAGCCGCCTGCCCCAGCCCCGCTCACGGGGCTCTGTGGGTGCCGCCAGCCGGAGTGCCATGCATCCACACGGACCTTCCCCTTGCCCAGTGCTGGTCAGCGCGGGCCCCAAGCAGGCCCTGTGGTTCTCTGCTCTCTTCCCTGGAGCGCGCAGGAGCAGACTGGAGAGACTCATGGCCTGGCGGGAAGGGCAGAGAACCACAGGGGACACTCCGGGCCTCCGGAGACAGCTGGAGACTCTTTGCGCCGGCTGTCCTGGTTTCAAAGTCTGACCGAAGCATTAAAACGGCCTTTCATTTGTTCTGTGTACCATCTGTCACTGTGGGTGCAGTGAGGTGTGAAGGCTTAAGTCCAAAGCACATGAGGAGCCATGGCAAGCAAGCCACCGTACAGGCGTGATTCGGGGAAACGTAACAAACTAGAGATGTGTCATGATGCCACTCATTAATTCTTTTATTTCTGTAGCAGAATCATTTTTTTAAAGTGTGGTTTTAATGTGTATGTGTTTCAGTGGTGGGAAAACTTGAAAATTCCAAGATCCTTATTACTTCCCTATTTGAGAGGCTGGTTAAGTAGGGTGTGTGTGTGGGGGGGTGTGCATGTGATGTATATATTACACTATTCTGAAAGAGTAATTGTTATGTGGATATACATTAGGTACAGCCAAATTGTATGTTTCCATTTGGTGAGGAAGGTAGGATCCATAAAACTCAGGCCTTAACCAGTAGGTTGGACGACAAGACCAATTGAAATGTCATGAAATGTCTTTGTTGCTCCTGTTATTTCTGTCTTGATTTAATTGTCTCGTTCTTTAATGATTATTAAAATCTTGTGCCTGAAAGTTTATTTTGCTTAATTATGAAGTAGACATGCATGTTTATATTTATGCAAAATATTTGCTGTAAAGGTTTTTTTTTTTGGTTTACTCTTTTTAAAAAATCACTATATTTAAGTAAAAAATGAAGGTCAGCAAAAAAAAAAAAAAAAAAACTTTACTTATTTGTTAAATTAAAATCTTTTCCGTAATACTAATTGCATGTTAGTCATTATTCTAAGAACTTTACAAATCATAGTTCATGAATAGTCCCAGGTATGTACTATTATCATCATCCTGATTTTGCAGATGCAGAAGCTAAAGCCCAGGAGGGTTAAGTAGCCATCTGCCGTAACACAGCTGGTAAGGCTTCATGATCTGGCTCCTGCCTGGCCCACAGACCTCATCTCATTGCTCCCTCTCACTCTTTCTTTCTGGTCATCTATTATTCTGTGCACATATAATCCTAAAAGATGATGCTGTTAAAGTCTTGCACTCAACATGCCAGAAAACTTGGAAAACTCAGCAGTGGCCAAAGGACTGGAAAATGCCGGTTTTCATTCCAATCCCAAAGAAGGGCAATGCCAGAGAATGTTCAAACTACCACACAATTGTACTCATGTCACATGCTGGCAAGGTAATTCTCAAAATCCTTCAAACTAGGCTTCAACAGTATGTGAACTAAGAACTTACTGATGTACAAATAGATTTAGAAAAGGCAGAGGAACCAGAGATTAAGTTGCCAACATCCATTGGATCATAGAAAAAGCAAGGGAAATTCAGAAAAACCTCTATTTCTGCTTCATTGACTATGCTATAAAGTCTTTGACTGTGTGGATCAAAACAAATTGTGGAAAATTCTTAAAGAGATGGGACTACCAGTCCACCTTACCTGCCTCCTGATAAACCTGTATGCAGGTCAAGAAGCAACAGTTAGAACCAGACATGGACCAACAGATTGGTTCCAAATTGGGAAAGGATTACCTCAAGGCTGTATATTGTCACCCTGCTTGTTTAACTTGTATGCAGAATACGTCACGCAAAATGCCAGCCTGGATGAATCACAAGCTGGAATCAAGATTGCTGGGAGAAATATCAATAACCTCAGATATACAAATGAGACTACCCTAAAGGCAGAAAATGAAGAGGAGCTAAGAGCTTCCTGATGAAGGTGAAAGAGGAGAGTGAAAAAACTGGTTTAAAATTGAAAATTCAAAAAACTAAGATCATGGCATCTGATCCCCTCACTTCATGGCAAATAGATGGAGGAAAAAAATGGAAGCAGTGACAGACTTTATTTTCTTGGGCCCTAAAATTACTGAAGATGGTGACTGCAGCCATGAAATTAAAAGATGAAATTAAAAGCTGTGACAAACCTAGATAGCATATTAGAAAGCAGAGACATCACTTTGCTGACAAAGGTCCATATAGTCAAAGCTATTGTTTTTCCAGTAGTCGAGTATGGATGTGAGAGTTGGACTATAAAGAAGGCTGATCACTGAAGAATTGATGCTTTTGAACTGTGGTGTTGGAGAAGACTATTGAGAGTCCCTTGGACTGCAAGGAGATCAAACCAGTCAATCCTAAAGGAAATCAACCTTGACTTTTCATTGAAAGAACTGGTGCTGTAGCTGAAGCTCAAATAATTTGACCACCTGATGTGAAGAGCTGACTCATTGGAAAAGACCCTCATGCTAGGAAAGACTGAGGGCAGGAGGAAAAGGGGATGACAGAGGATGAGATGGTTGGATGGCATCACTGACTCAATGGACATGAGTTTGAGCAAGCTCCAGGAGATTGTGAAGGACAGGGAAGACTGGCCTGCTGCAGTCCATGGGGTCACAAAGAGTCAGACACTAGTGAGTGACTGAACAACAGATGATGGTCCTGGAATATATTCTTTCCCACTTTTCACTAGTTAGTTCCAAGAAGTGGAAGTATTATATTATGAACATACTTGGAAGGGGCAGAATTCTAACAGCTGTGATTCCCTTGACAGGCAGAATAATGAATCTTAATCAAAGGGTCTAATGCAGTTTTCGCTTACCTCCTTCACATCTCTGCTTCCTTCAGTCTTCCCTATCTCTGTTGGGTGGACCCCCATTCACCCTTACGTTTTTCCTCCTTTATGTTGGGAGGATCACTATTCATCCATCCAGTCTCTTTTCACTGTCTCTAGGACCACAATTCATCCTTGTGTTCTGACTTCCCCATCTGGGTATGGAGGACCACTGTTCATCCTTGTGTTTTCTCTTCCTCATCTCTGCCGGGAGGACCACCATATATCCATGTGGAGGCTTAGTCCTTTGGAGCTTTCCTTGACTCCTCTCTTGCTCCTTTACTCCACATCACATCCTGTCTGATACAGGTTTCATAACCTGTCCTGAATGTAACCACTTATCTTAACCACTGTCAGGTTAATCCCAGCCACTAGCACCTCTTGTTGGCTTCCACTAGGACACTTTGTGTTTACTTGCTAATCCCTCTGAAGCTTTCTTCCCAGATCTGCCGTGGCTGCTCTTGTTTACTCTTCATGGTCCTGCTCAGACTTTATCTCCGTAGAGAGGCCTTTCTGCCCTCATTGCTCTCTCTTCCATAACTAACCCTGTTGATTTTCCTTCATGGCACCTGACTTATTTCCTTTTTTTTAAAACTACATATTTATTTGCCTTTTTGTTCTCTATCTAGGATGTACAGGGATTCAGCACCTGGAAAAATACCTGATACATATTAGTTCAGTTCAGTTCAGTTGCTCAGTCGTGTCTGACTTTTTTGCGACCCCTTGAACTGCAGCATGCCAGGCCTCCCTGTCCATCACCGAGCCCTGGAGTCCACCCAAGCCCACGTCCATCATGTTGGTGATGCCATCTAACCAGATCATCCTCTGTCATCCCCTTCTCCTCCTGCCCTCAATCTTTCCCAGCATCAGGGTCTTTTCAAATGAGTCAGCTCTCCGCATCAGGTGGCCAAAGTATTGGAGTTTCAGCTTCAACATCAGTCCCTCCAATGAACACCCAGGACTGATCTCCTTTAAGATGGACTGGTTGGATCTCCTTGCAGTCCAAGGGACTCTCAGGAGTCTTCTCCAACACCACAGTTCAAAAGCATCAATTATTCGGCGCTCAGCTTTCTTTATAGTCCAACTCTCACATCTATACATGACTACTGGAAAAACCATAGCCTTGACTAGACAGACCTTTGTTGGCAATGTCTCCGCTTTTTAATATGCTGTCTAGGTTGGTCATAACTTTCCTCCCAAGGAGCAAGCGTCTTTTAATTTCATGGCTGCAGTCACCATCCACAGTGATTTTGGAGCCCCCAAAAATAAAGTCAGCCACAGTTTCCACTGTTTCTCCATCTATTTCCCATGAAGTGATGGGACCGAATGCCATGATCTTCCTTTTCTGAATGTTGAGCTTTAAGCCAACTTTTTCACCCTCTTCTTTCACTTTCATCAATAGGCTCTTTAGTTCTTCTTCACTTTCTGCCATAAGGATCGTGTTATCTGCATATCTGAGGTTATTGATATTTCTACCAGCAATCTTGATTCCAGCTTGTGCTTCCTCCAGCCCAGCGTTTCTCATGATAGATATTAAAACTTTGTTAAATATTTGGAATAGTGGATGAATGAATTATTGTAGAATTAAAAATGAATTTAGGAGAAGAGGGACTTGGATATTTCCGGGAAGACTTCTGCCAAGAGCAGCAGGGAGCTAGAAGGCACTCCACTTTGGGGTAATTCCCTTGTCTTTATAGCAAGAGAGAATTCAACTGTTCAAGGAACACAGTCAGCCCAGCTGGGTGAGCCCTCCCCTCCACCCTGTTTTATTCCCCCATGGCTGGCCCCCTGGGTCCCCTGTCCTGCTGGCTGGAGGCTTAGGGCCAAGCGCTGCTTTGCCGTCAGTAAGCAGAGCAGCTGTGCTTTTCTCCCTTCCCTGGTGCGTGGGTCTCGCCACTGGGCACAGGCTTACAGAAACTTGGGGCCTGGACGCTCTTCCCTCCCCAGGTGGTCGGGGAGCAGCACAGAGCCTGTTTGTCCACTTGGGAGTAAGGTCCTAGGGGAGATATTCAGTAGTGTGGCTGAATAGCAGAGCCTCTCAGGGAAACCCTCCAAGGAGTTTCCGCTCAGGCCTCCTAGGGCAGAGCAGTGATTTGCAGCCATTTCAGGCCTCTTTATATTCCAGTTTCATCTCTCGCCATTGATTTTGCCATTTGCGGCTTATAATAAAAATGAGGCGAGTGGGCACAGATGGGGTTAGTTACTAGACGCTTCTCTCTTCTGTTGCCGGGCACTCCTGGGGAATCAGCTGCATGGGCATTTGCTTCCTTAACTCTTCTCTGGGTTTCACCAAGTCAAGGTCGCCAGAAGATGGTGATCAATTCTGTCGACTGGTTCATATTGTACAGAGTGAAACGAGCCGCTCCTAACATAAAAGCTTAAAGGAGAACACAAGTATATGAGTGGTGACCATTTGTACTAATTTTATGAATATCCTTTGCGAGAACTGGGTGAAGAATAC